AATGTGCCACCGACCAGCGGGTCCGGTGAGGAAAGAGGGCGAGCGCGCGCGCGTCCGTTTTGTGTCCGCGCCGACGCAAATCAGGCTAAAAAATGGACCGGGAATGGGTCGGCAGACGGACGAAAGCGGACGCGCGTCCGTTTGGGTCGGCGCGTTGGGCCGGCTTTTTTGTCCGCGCCGACCCAAACGGACGGCGGCCGACGAAATGGGTCGCCCCATTGGAGTTGCTCTTAGGGTGGCGCCCCTACTATGCGATGGCCACCGGAGCTCCATGGACGATGGAGTGGCTGCCCTATGGTGGGCTGCTTGGCTTGGAGATCGCTGGCGATGGTGGCTGCGAATCTGCAGTCCCGTTCAGATCCGTCGCAGTGTGGCCATGAACAGCCGACGACGCGTGGAGGGATCGGTAAGGGTCGGCTGGAGGCTACCTATCGGAGTACCGGCGGCGACATTCGTCTTCACGGCGAGGCTCCGCATGGATTCAGCCAACTGCGAGATCAGGGTGACGCGACATCCGATGAAAATCGCGCTGACTGCGGTCATGGAGGACGATGGTGGCGTCTGTGACATCGTTTCCTTCTTGAGGCATCATCGTGCTAGGTTGTGGCACCACGCTCGGGGTGCTCTGGGGGAAACCCTAGAACCGTGTCTCCTGGATTGGACGATGACAGCGTCCTCAATGTCGTTCTCCTTCATGAAGGCATCGTTTTGGAGCAACGGTTGGCTACGTGGACAAGAGGAAGAGCGGTGTTACATCTACTACAAGGCCGATGGCAGGTCTCAGCGGTGTGGCCCAATGGAGTTTCGGCGGCGGCGAGTGTGGATGGATATATACAGGAGGATGGCACTGTGTGACGTTGTGATGGCATCGACAGAAGCAGTAAAGCCTCGCAAGGTGTATGTGTTGATCGCTCCTGAAGATGGAACGACGAAAGATGGCGGCGGTAGATCCAGAGCGTGTGCATGCGGTGCGCCCTGCGGGTCGATCAAACAGGGTGGTGCTCTCGGCACGATGCGGGACAGCTACGTGAGGCCATTAGATTAGATAGTGTGCATTCATGCGGTTCGGGCACGATATCAAGAATATAGGTATTGTGACTTTGTCTGCTGGATAGGAGGCTTCGGCTTGATCAATGTATTCGTGTTGTCAGACTCTATTAAATAATAATAAAGATGATTATGCACATCGATTGATGCAGGGGCCAGAGTAATTCTCCTTTTCAGAAAAAATAGAAGTTCTTTCAAACAACAAACTTACAAGAAGATGTACGAGACAGGAAATGAAGAGGCGAGACGGGGAATTCTCTATTCGGCGCATTTTGCGTCAAACTCTCCAGCAATTGCAGAGACGAGGTGACCGAGCGAGAGATTGGGCCGGCCCATTTCTAGTAGGTAGAAGATTTCGGTTTTGTGAATCTTCTAGAGGTTCCCAACGGTTTTTATTGGTTTTGGGAACCTTCTAGAAGATTCATAGAGCGGTTTTTCTATTTTCCTTTTCTTTTTTCTATGGCTATTTCTTTTTCTTTTATTTTTTCTTCTTTATTATTTTCTTTCTTTGTTATTTTTTACTTTAATTTTTCTTTAGTTTGAAATTTTCAAATTTTTGTTCCAAATTTTAAAAAATGTTCTCATGTTCAGAATTGTATTCACAATTTTAAAAAAATATTCGTATTTCAAAGAATGTTCAGGAATTGCAAAAAATGTTCTTGCTTTCAAAATGTGTTCATAATTTTTTTTAAAAATCATGTTTCAGAAATTGTTCATGTTTTAAAATTTTGTCCATCATTTAAAAAAATGTTTGTGTTTTAAAAAATGTCTAGAGATTTCAAAAAATATTCTTGTTTTCAAAATTTATGCACGATTTCATAAAAAAATTCTGTTTCAAATTTCTTCATGATTTCATACAATATTTCTGTTTCAAATCTGTTCATGATTTCATAACATATTTGTGTTTAAAAATTTGTTCACAATTTCATAAAATGTTCCGGGATTTCAGAAAATGTTCTCATTTTTATAATTTGTTCATGATTTTCATTAAACTGTTTGTATTTCAAAAATTATCCTGGAATTGCAAAAAAGTTTTCATTTTGAAATTTTGTTCACAACTTAAGAAAAATGTTTATGTTTCGAAAATCTTTAGGAATTATTTTTTTTTGCATTTTTATCAATTTCTTCAAAACTTTAAAAATTGTCCCCATGTTTGAAATTTTTCAAAAATATGCGAATTTTAACAAAAAAATCTTCTTTTACAAACAATGTTAGTTTTTTTTTCAAAATTGGACAAAATTTTAAATTTTGTTCCTGTAATTAGAAAACTATTTAAAAATTTCAAATTTTGTTCACATTTTTTAAAATTTTGTTCTTGTTTTTTAAAGTGGCTAAAAACAATTGAATAATCTGTACGCTTCAGTAAATAGGACGCTAGAGTGAATATCGCGTTATAGTAAAACTATTCACGCCATCTTCTTTCGCCATCGGCCATAAGGCATAATTGCTAGCAGCTGTGTTAGTTACTGTGACTTTGCGAATTCGAACCTAGCAACCGTGATTTTTTTTTTGCGAATTTCTCCTCTGTATATGGGCCGGCCCAGTCGGGGACGCTCCTATGCGTGAGGCCGACTGTTTGCTGCAATTGGCGTCGAATAGGAGCTCCCGCGGGACGGGTATACTACTTGGCACAACGACATACTCCCTCCGATCCTAAATGTAAGTCTTTTTAGAGATTTCATTTAGGACTACATTCGAATGTATATGGACACACTTTAGAGTGTAGACTCATTCATTTTGCTCTGTATGTAGTCCTTAGAGAAATCTCTAAAAAGACTTATATTTAGGAACGGAGGAAGTAGTTGTGAAGTGTGTAAATATACATGGTGACTTTGAACCACCACTTAAATGACTCTCTGTTATGAAAAGTAAAATGTTTGTGCAAATGAATGATGTGTGCCCGATTGTGTTTGAATGTTTTTGCCGGTTTCACTTGCAGGGTTTGTAACCAAACAAAGTAATGCTCAGCCCTGAAGAAGCTAACGGGCTGGTCTGACTTGGCAATTGATTGGATTAAGAGGGAGGGTGAAGGCACACCCCTCCTGAAAATAGGGGATGTTTAGATTAGTTTGAAGGCATCTGTAAACGTACGTAGGCCTTGGTAGGTGTAGGATTTTCGTTGCCAGAGTGACCCAGACCCATCTCAAAACATATGGAATTTCTTTTCAACTAAATGAAGTTGTCATTAGGAAGAGTAGTTGTCATTAGCCATCCTTTGGTAGTGCGTACCAGTACGAATTAAGCTTGCTTAGGGCATGTACAACGGTGCTATTTTAGAAGTGTAACATAGGCTAAATGCTGAGGTGGAAGGGAGAGAAAGCATAAGAAAATATTTGTCTTTTTTTATTTAAGAGATGACCTCTTAGCATAATATGTCTCATCATGTTTTTAGAAAATAGCTAGTTATTAAATATAAGGCTAAAAGATAATTCATTATAGAACGCTTTTATTGTTACCTCTAAATTACATGCAAAACTTAAGATAAATTTGTCTTATCAATCACTGTACATGCCCTTAGTAGTTTTAAGCATCGTGAGTTAACTAAATCATCCACTTGGCAATACTAGTACGAATTAAGCTTGCTTAGAGGATATCTAGTGGCTTGTGCAAATGGTAGTCTATACCAAATTTAGACTACCACATGTCAAAAAATGTCTTTAGTGGCTTGTCTATTGCGTTGTTTAAAATTTAGACAATGTCCAAACTAGCTACCCGTCGTCCACATTTGGACAACCAAGCCACAATTTCCAAACCAAAAATGTTGGCTCATGAGCTCGTCCATGCACCAACTCGGAGCAATTGGAGGACGTCGGCAGGGGGGCGGCCGCGCCGGCACTGGTCACGGAGGCTGTTGCGCCTGGACCGCCGCCTCATCAGGGCTGAACCTGTTGCTATTGTTTATTTCTCGTAAATTATATAGGGTGTTGCTAGTGCTGAACCTAAAATAATTTCGCGGCTGGTTTTATTTTCTCCTTTGTATGTCTTGCAGATGAAAATAAATAAATGAGAATAACTAAAAAATGACCAACATAAGATTTTTTTAGAAAATATAGCTGCTATAAGGTACTATTAAAATACGTATATGAGAGAGAATATAGACATCATGTATATAGACAATCCGCTGGAAAACTTAGGTTGCCTAAAAGAGAATCTTTTTACTCCATTGTGTATATGTAGATATAGACCATCAAATTTAGACAAGCCACTAGAGATGCTCTTAAGACATGTACAACGGTGCTATCTTAGGAGTGTCACGTAGGCTAAACGCTGAGATGGAGGAGAGAGAAATCATAAAAAAAAAGTATCTTCTCTTATTTAAGAGATAACATTATAGCACAATATGTCTCACCATATTTTTAGAAATAGCTAGTTATTAAATATAAGGCAAAAAGATAATTCATTATAGAACGCTTTTATTGTTATCTTTAAATTACATGCAAAATTTAAGATAAGATTGTCTTACCAATCACTGTACATGCACTTAGTACTTTTAAGCAGTACATGCTCCTTAGTAGCTTTAAGCATCGTGGGTTAACTAAATCATCCACTTGGCAATACCGTCTTACGGCAAAACTAGCACCCTGTGCAGGCCAGGGTTTCGGGAAAGAGACGTCGCTCCGGTGGCCGCAGCTAGAGGATAAGACACTCGCAAGTGTGGGGCTGTCTTCTTGTACTAGATGCACGCATCGGCTGTTCATGGCCGTTTCGCGCCGCCCGTCCTTATCCGCCATGAATTTTGGAGACTTCGCCCCCTCAGCCCCTCCAAGCGGCTCGCCGTCTATATATTACCCCCAGAGACCACGACCAAACGCAACACTACAGCACGCACCACCTTGATCAACCTGCCCTGAGTTCATCACTCAAAGTAAGAAAGAGGGTAGCGACCGACAAGCAGAGGGACGCAGGCACGTACTATACCTTAGTCACGTACACACAGCGAGAAGTGAGCAAAGATGTGCGGCGGTGCCATCCTCGCCGAGCTCATGCCGAGCGCGCCGCCCAGGAGCGTCACGGCGGTCCACCTCTTGCCCAAGCGGCAGAGGGTCGACGACTTCGAGGTTGCTTTCAAGCGCTTCGACGAGGACCCCGAGGAGGAGGAGGAGGTGCGCCAGTGCGCGGGCTTCGAGTTTGGCGCCCGCGGGCAGCCGGCAGCGAGGCGCGGCGGCGGTAGGCCGGCAAAGTACAGAGGCGTCCGGCGCAGGCCTTGGGGCAAATGGGCGGCAGAGATCCGCGACCCCGTCAAGGGCGTCCGGGTCTGGCTCGGCACCTTCCCCTCCGCCGAGGCCGCCGCGCACGCCTACGACGACGCCGCACGCGGCTTCCGCGGCGCCAACGCCAGGCTCAACTTCCCCTCCTCGTCCACGAGCGCACCCAAGTGCCGCGTAGCCGAGAAACCGACACCGTTCGTTGTTATTGACCTCGACGACGACGAAGAGGGTGATGCCGGAGCAGCGGATGCCGGCGGGATAAGCTCCGAATCCAGCGGCGCCCTGCCGGACTTCTCGTGGCAGGGCATGTCCGCGTCCGACGAGGTCACGGCGCAATCTGTCCATGCTGAAGTGGAGTCCGGCCAGTCCGTCGTCGACCTGGGCAGCGCCAAGAAGCGGCCCCGGATCGAAGCCGACGAGGTTCTGCCGGCAGCGTCCGACGACTCCGCCAACCAACTGTTAGATCCTTTCATGTTCGATGACGAACTCGGTTTCTTGGACAGCAGCTCGTACGAGTGGCTGGATGGCCTGTTCGGCGCCGATGCTGAGAAGATCGACGGCAGTCAGCTGGGGCTCTGGAGCTTTGGCGACGATGACTGTCTCGCCGAGGACAGCGCGTGCGTGCAAGTAGAGTAGCAGTATTGTAGTATCATCAAAGACAACAGGATAGGATAGGACACTCGCAAGTGTTTGACGCCCTCCCACACCTTGTTTTTTTTTTAGGATACCCCCACACCTTGTTGATGATATCTCTTTCATCAAAGAAATAAAAAAACACCCTGTTGATGATGTAAAAACTTTGCTGTTCTGGGATTGCTAAATCTCAGTCAACCAAGAGTCTCAGTCCATATTATATTAGTAAGATCTTATATGAAAATCCATAATTTTTTTCTTTTTTTCAATATGTTGTGTCACTTAACTGAGACTTAGTTAAATAGTCAACTGAGATCCTAATAAAATCGTTTCCATGCAAATAGCAGACGAACATGCCCGTTTGTGATTATGGCATCCCTTGTATGCACTTGATACTCCTTGTGTGCATTTCTTCCTACTTTTATATCAACAATGTCTGCTCTTGATACGTAAACTAAATAGTGCATATTTATTTTCACACTAAGTTCATTTCCCTTAGTTTCCACCATTCCATGTGATGTTTTATCTTGGACATTTCGGATGATTCACTAGATACATGAGGCGTGCTAGTGCATAGCTAGTCAAAATGTGCATCTAGAAATGCTGAAAAAAAATCTTGACATCAACATAGTACAGATCATTATACATTCATTCCCTCAAAAAAACTATACATTCATTCCACAAAATTTTAAATCAAAATTAAATTCATAGGCTGATGAAAGAAAAATAATCTGTTTAAGTCGCTTTTCTCTTCTCCATCCGAGCAGCTCCGCACTTTTTCTTCTTCTTCACATTCGTCTTCCTCCTCTCGCCTCCGACGAAACCTCTCTGACGCCGAGCGAAGCACCAGTCACCGCCACTTGTGACTGGTATCACGCGGTCGTGCATCGCCTTTTGCTGGTTCGCCCTTGCCCCTAGTCACCCCTCTAACCCATGTCCTCTTCTCCGGCTCTGGTGAACCCTTTGCACTGAAACCCATCAACCTCCTTACCCTCCTCTGCCGACAACCATATGGGGAGTTACAATGTCCCCATCTCCGGCCTTATTTTGGCTCGGCTCGCTGGTGACACCGCAGCCGATGCGGTGTCCCCGTCTCACCCACATGGCAGCATGTACATGATTCAACTGACATCTAGAAAAATAATTAGAGGTGTCTATCAGACGACAAACTCGGTGAATATCATATATTTCAAATATGCATTGAATAGTCATGTCAGTATGATTCAGATAATTTTCCGATATAGTACATATCATGCCATCTATCAATCGATTTGAATTATCTCGCTATGCATATCATGTTGAAGTAAAAAATTTAAAACATGGTAGATGTATGCTATTTCAATGTTGTAAAAAACAAAACAGGCTTTTCCTTAACATTAAAAATAATAATCACTCATCTAGTACACTAGATACCTTGAAAATACTTTCTAGTTGCTCTTTTAAATAACTCGAATCATGGTATAACCTTTTTGACTATGCATGAGTTACTTGTATCCAGCCACCCATAAGCCCCGAAAGAACCAACCCTTCAACTTCTACACTACAATATAGTTTTAATTATATTGCTCGAGGTTGTGCACCATTGTAGCTCAAGAGTGAGTGGTGGTATGTTCTGATTGAGGTCTCAAAGGTAGTGTCAGTGGACTGCATAGGGTGCAGTGGAGCAGCCCGCCCTAGAACTTGGGTAGCAATGAGGGTGTTCACCTGTTGTGCGGCGATGAGGTTTTCCTCGATGTTGATCAGCCGTGTGTCATAATTGACACGAGGTCTCGTGGAGTGGATACTTTTTCACCTCGATGGGATTGTGTTAGGTGTGCTCCTCTCACAAGACTCACGACTTTTTCTCTCCCATGATGGTAGAAGGACATCTAGTTCTGCAGAGCGAGTTTCCATGTTTTTTTAGCGAAGGCAAAATGTTTGCCTTCTGATTAATTAAGCAAGGAGAGTTTTAAGATGCAAGAACCAAAGGTTTTTGGCCTCAGCCTACCCCCAAAAGATAAGGGCATAAACAAAATACTCGATGTATAAATGGTTGCCAAGATGAGGCCAGTCCATGACATACATTTGCTTTTTAAAGTCCTAGCTCCTTCCGACGTTCTGAAGTAATGAGCATAAGAATGGAGGCCATGGCCATACGATCGAGTACTAGGTTGCTGATCATCCAGGTCCACCGGTCATGAACCAAAGGTACTGCGATCCAAAGATGAGGCTGGACACATGACACAACCAATTCATGCTTTAGTAGTAGATCACACACGCAAAGAATACCAACCGACGGGAAAGAGATATGTGTTGGACAGATTCCGGGGCGTGTGAGCAGAAGAGGCAAACCACATTAATCAGCCAGCGCCCACACTAAAGATGACCAATGTTCCAAATACTGTTATGAAGCAGAAGCCAAGAAAAAATTGCAACAAATTGGTCCTCGTATTAGTTTGTGTGGGTGTGGCTGACATGTTTTTTGTTGCCCTCATTGTGTCGTTGGAGAGACTGAGCTTGGGCCCGTTTGTACCGATCTGTTTTAGTGCGGTTGGCTTTAGATGTATTGAAGTTTGTCATGTCATCAGTGGTTAATTGGAAACTAATTAATGGAGATGGATAACATTTAACCTGCTAAAAAGGACAAAAATGCTATCCGGCAAACATTGGATTTCTAGTCATTCGCAGCGAACGCATCAGTTACCATTCAATCTCCTAGCACAAATCACAGTGCAAGACTGGTGCCACGTAAGGTTTTCCGAATTAATTGCTCTAACTAGCTTCCTGGCGAATGCTCCCCTTTTTTTCCTTCCACACAAAATATATCAGAGGTGCGCCGGGGCAGGGTGCTAGAATTCCCGGCCTCCTGAAGGAATGACAGGCGCTTACCACTTTGGACTAGAAGCGGTTTTGTGAAAACATGTGGTAACACTTTCTATATATACTTTGAAGCTAAAATGACTTGAATTTGATTTTTCATTTAAAAAAATTAGGACAAAGAAAAATCCAAAATCCCCAAAAAATATGCTATTGAAAGAGCAAAACTCCCTAAATTTTGCCATGTGTACTTGCAAGTTCCAAAAGTTGCTTCTTTTAGAGAACACTTTTTTTTAATTTTGACATAATTTTTAGACGAGTTTTTTTTTTTTTGCAAACTTGCCATGTGCAATTTTATTATAGGTAGCATGAAAATTTCATTTACTTGGACCAGGGCATTTTTTAATAAGCCCATGACGAGGTTTTATTAAATACACCATGGTAGTTGTTTTGTAGATATCATGTTAATTTTATTATTTAGTCGATGTTAGTTTGTGTTGGTAGCATGGCAATTTTACTATTTACACCATGGCAATTTTTTCATTAGACGGTGACAATTTTTTTCAATTTGATCATGTAAAATTTTCCAGTTAGACCATAGCAGTTTTATTAATTAGACCATGGTGATTTTATCAGTTAGACCATGAAATTTTTGTTATATGTAGAACGGCAATTTAAAATTTTATACTTTGGCATTTTCAATTTAAATTGTAGGTAGCACCTTCAATTTTGCCATGCGACTATTTTTTTTACTTTAGCAATCGTCATTTCTCTGCTATATATCATGGCAATTTTTGTTTGTGTTTTTAAGAAGATTTAAAAAAAACCTAGATCCTAAAAACGGGCAAAAATAACTCAATATATAGACAAATTTTTAATACTGTATATTTTATCTACATCATGCCAAACCTTTTTTTACTCTTTAATTTTTTTGTCTATGTAAAACTGAAAGGTGTTGGGCCGAGAGGCCTAATAGAGGGTCTGGCTGACGTGGGGTTCAGGCTGGGTG